ATTTTCTTGGCGCAGTCGGCAGGCAAATATTCCGTCTGTCTGTCTGTCCTTTTGGAATTTGTATGAGATGCAGGCCCTGAGAGTAGAATGGGGTCTTAATTTTCTTCCTGTGTGCATATTCCTCTGTCTGCAGGAGGGGTAGACTTCAGTTCTTCCTGAAGCAGCCCCTCTGAGCCAATAAGATGCGACCCTTATGCAGGGGCATTCAATTACAGAGCACATCCACACTCGGAACTGCGTTCCGGCCATCGGCTTCCCCCCACTGCTTTTCATGGGTCCTCTGCCCCATTATGGTTCATGCGTCTGTCCAAACTCACCGAATTGTATCACGAATTCTCGGGCTTAATAATTGTGATGCCATCACTTCATTGAGGGAACTATTTCGTTTATACAGAAGAAATATAAATTTTCATTGCCCCTTCTGAGACGTCCAGAGTTAAGAAAGACGTCAGCCCAATTAGCTGTATTTTACGAAGTATTTCTGAAAACGTAAAGACTTGGAACATTCACGTCATTGAAAACTTAGCAGTGTCATCTCCTTCACGTGCACTGCATAAAGGAATACGCACCACTAGTTGAGAAACTTTGATCATATTATTATGTTCTTGTTGCAAGTTCTAAGTAACCCAGAGGATCGTGTTAAAGTTGTCGCTGATTGCTTCTAAATGAGAACCTGTAATTGGAGGCCGCACAATGATATTAACTGGAGGTATTTTTCTTTTGTCATTGTAGGTAAATTATGGATCAACGATACAGACGTGTCTTGGCGACGAGAAGTGCAGAAAGATGAAGATCGCACCACAACACTTCACGCGAGACTCGGGATCGACACTGGTAAGCGCTGGCCCTTAGGAGGGCCCTACCCAGTCCCTGCCCTTCTGATTCAAACAGAGCAATTTGCCAGTTTCAGGAACGACCTCGATATTCGTCGAAATCTGCAAAGGAAGCAATGCACAAATACCGCAAATTGTGAATGTTTCGCAGTTTGAGTTTCTGCTAGATACCGTACTTAGCAGAATGCAAGAGGGTATTTTACCCCGTCATTATAATCAGCGCCCCTTTTAAAGCGTTCGCTCGAAACTTCACTGTTCATGCTTTCTGATTGTACCCGAAGTAGGAACGTCCATCGGCGTTAAGCTGGGTAGCCGCCCTTCCCGGGGCCCGTATCTTCCGTCCAGGCGTTGGCTCTAGCCGAGCGGCGGGTATGCATGAGACAGGACGTGTAACACGTGTTGATGGTCCTGCACTCATGTTCCACCGATTGAACTCCTGCTGATACTTCACCCCACTGGTTCTTATTTCGCGAGGGTAACTCGCCCCCGCCGTCCTGTTTTTGTCTCCCCGAGAGTCTTACATTATTGGCATTTTATACCAAGAGGGTTCGCTGCAGAATTGAGTGAGGGTAAGAGATTTGAAGTGTCGAGTGAGATGTTTTAAACGAAATCAATTATTTTAATTCTGTTGAAGAGTAGACGGAAGGACTGACAAAGTTTCTGGGCTACTTAGGAGTCCTCTGTGGCTCCCCCCCGCCCCCCGTGGGGAGCTGGAAATAAATCTGCTTGTGGGGTACATAACCTTTCCTGTCACTCCAGCTGCGTTCGTATCAATTCGCTATTTTCACTGCGAGAGTAGAGGAATGAGTGGCGACGCTCTGCAGGTGCAGGACGTCGGCGTCTTTTTTATTTTTTTAGATTGCAACGGCCGAAGTGGAGAGTAACGGGCATGCTTCGTGAAATAATTCTCAGGCTGAAGATGCATTTAAAATAGGACGTTGTACTTAAAAGTGAATCAAGTCTTCCTATGCACGATAATTCATTTATATATTTTCTTCAGAGAGGTCTTCATTTGCAAGAGGGTTACACAACCCAGGGCGCTTCTGTAGTAGTCATACAAACTCTGGCATGGATTTGGCCTTGTAGGTTGGGTCCGCAAATCCTTAGTTTTCAAGTTGAGTCCCGTATTACGTGATGGAATTTTTCCGACATCGGGCCTGGTGAACGCCAGTAGTAGCCCTGCTCATTGCACGGCTGTTCGCCAAATTGCATACCGCACATTGGCGGCCCATACTATTATCATCCAAACTTCGCATGGAAAATAACGCCAGATGGCGCTGTCAAACCCACCTGTAACGCCACCACCCGCATTACTGACATGCCCTAGAAAGTGAAGAACGAAAGGAAAGTTACAGGCGTCTAATAAAATTCGTGTAATGCGAAATGTATATTAACCAGTACCAAAAGACTACTCCTTTATCACGTAAATAAAAATAATCCGGCCCTGTCTTAAACGTCACCTATCCAACAGTTTTTAGGACATAAAATAAGACTCCAGTGAGTTTCAGAATTCCAGAAATGACAAAAAGATCGGAATCAAGTTGTGCGAGTTTCACTACAACGCTCTTTTATGCACTACACGTCTTAAGCAATGGCCATTTCTTGTGCGTTGCTGGTTTTGGGTCGTGATAGGAGAAGCCGTGATGTGTAAGAAGATTGCCTTTCAAGACATTAAAATGCGATTGTCCAAGGAACGCAGTCTAAAGCACCGTCTGTCGTTCACTGATATCAAGCTTACTAGTCAGACGTACATTATTAAATTCCTTCGATAATTTGATATATGACATTATTTTGGAGGGAAGGTGCGTGATGTTTCTTTAAAACACACCTCAAGAACTTCAGCGTTTGTTCCATTTGATTCTGACGTGATTTATCCCGTGTGCGGTGGTAGACCGAGTGACCCAAGTTCGCTCCTTGCCACAGCAACAGCCCAGATGCTGTTGTGTGTGTCTTTCGGATATCCTACCCTTTGGTTCACGTTGTCAAGGCGATTCGAAGTTCAGTTTACCGACTGAGGCCACTCACGTTTGTTCCTCTTTTGCGATTGCAATTCTTACTCTGTATCGTACACGACACGACGGAACGCGACAAAAGCCCTTTAAAATAAACAACTGAATATCGCTTTGGGTAGGTTGAAATTATTTTGGTCCTCGGGCGAAGATCCGGCCAAAGGCCGTGCTGCGAGGTGCAGGCGCCAAGCGCGGACTCTTCCCTCAACTCCTGTGCTACAGGAATGCTTGCCCGTGTAGTTAACGAGTAAGCAATGAAGTTATGCGATTGGTATCGGCCGAGATAGTCAAGGCCACTTGTTCCGTTGTTGGAGTAACGTCGGGACCCTCTTGCATGTTGAAAAGTAGATTTATTTTTAATGCCGGTTCAGAGCCCTTCTATTTAAATTGAGTTGTGTTTGAAGGGCTCTCGGACATCGCCCCCTGCTACCTGTTTCCCCGTTACTAGTCTTTGGCGCGACGAATGTGCAGGAAAGTAGAATTTATTTTGTGTTCGCTTAGGCGTTTATTGATGAGATAAAGTTGGAACCGAGGCTCGATTGTCGGGGTTTACAAAGGCGTCGCCTTCCTTACCGTATGCCGAGCGATTTGAATCCATTCCACACCTTCACGTACCGCGTGTCAAACTCCATGTTAATTTTACTCTTCTCATCTGCGTTCATATGCACCAGATGGTCTCTTACGTTCAGATTTTCCTCGCTTGTCTCGTCCTTTTCATGAGATACACCAAGAATCCGCAAGTCCGAGGTCTATTTTCCCAGTTTGTAACTTGGTAGTTATCGGCGAAACGCTGTAGCCTTCTGCACGAGCGTGGCTGTCCTCCGTTCTCCTCTGTCCACGGCCTGAGATTGCGCTGTGGAGTGCGGTCAGTGGCTCTCGTTTAGATGCAGCATCACATTGCTCAGTTGGTCCTCCGAGATATAATACCGTCGCCCGGTCTGTCGTGGCCAAACAGCGGCATCGGTTTAAGAAGTCGAGGTCACAAACGACTTTTTGAGAGAAGTTGGCCAGTAACTTCGGCTCCACGTTTAGGCACGTGGATTCCTTTGTGTAAATTCTTGATTTTCGGTCCGAAAACTGCCGCATATTTAAGCACAAGGCGCAGATATACAGAGGAGTAGTTTTGCCAGCAGTTACGTATGGCTGTGAACCGAGATCTCTTGCGTTGAGAGAGGAACGTGTTTGAAATGATGACTTACGACTTCGTAGGCAATTTAAGATATTTCATCCCGGGAAACTTCCATGTTTTTTCCTTATATCGGTAATCTAGGAAGCTCAGGTCGGATGGACGTGCGACACTGAGAAGGAAGAGTTTATGTTTAGACAGATGAAATTCGGAGGCGGGAGGACCGATTAATAGGACGTAAAGTCTGCAGCAGGCTGCAAAGTGGAGGGGACGGGCCCACGGTTTCCCGGCAGATGTGATGTGTCGAGTGACCTATGTCACGTGACAACTGAGGCTACTCTTCGCACGCGTGATCTCCGCGCTGCTTTACTCGCGGACAGAACTTCAGATTGCGCCAAAATAGATTTGGGTTGAATCATCTTGTAAAACATGACATTTTAGTGTCGCGCGTTTCAGCACCAGATGTCACCGTAGTCAAGAGCTGCGAAGTTAATATTGATGTAAGGAATCGCGCTCGTTCGACAGGGCACCGGGCGCCGCCTTGCAGTGATGGCCCCGGTGATATATTGAAGGTAGTTCCCTCCTGCTGCACTTATCGTGTTATCGACTCTTATGAAATGATTGAAGGAATAACTCGCAGGAACGGAGCTTGATTCGAGAATAAAAAAGAAGAAAGGTGGGGGAGATCATGAATGGCTGGAAACTGAGTGAGAAACGCGTGCGATTCCGCGGCGGCACGGCATGTTTCATGACGTCTCACCGCGTCGGAAATAGTCTCGGCGAATGCATGAGGGTCTTTTCCTAGCCGCCCGGAGTTCGAGTACCGCGTAGGAACTTGCTTATTCCGCGCGATTATAGGTTTATTAAAATTTCTCGTTTCAGAAATTTAGAGCCGGAAACGTGATTGAAAGTGAAAATAAACAATTTGCAAGCCTGAATAGAAACTCGAGCTTTTTATCCGTCATGTTTGATTTATAACAATCATAATAACAATTATAGTTTTAAAACTGGTCTAGTTTGAAGCACACATTACATGTAATCGCACTTTTCAGCAGTTGCTTCCCCAAAAGTTAATCCGTGGGCTATGATTTAACATTGACGCAGTTTTAATTAACTCTGTGGGTCGCAGACGTTTGTTAGAAACCGATCTTAATGGGGAACGTTGAAGGGGAGGGGGAACTTGTGAGATCTAGATCTGAGGGTGGGGACTGCGTTAACTAACTCGGTGCAGGGTCCAGTGGCAGGCTGTTGTGAACACGGCAATGAACCCTGGAGTTCCGTAAGAGGCGATACATTTGTTGATCACAGGAGAAACCGCGAGAAGTCGACTCTTTCCTGTCGCCACTTACACCTCTGTTGTTCGAAGTCAGCGTCGAGGGACGATTAATGTTAAGTTCGGATCTCGGCTTAAGGAACGACTTTCGTCAGGTTCGTCGTCCCTCCCGTAGAAGGGCATCCATGTGTACATCTTCGGCGAGCGATAAAGGCCTCTGTGATTGTGTGCGTGATAGAGCCTCTCGCGTACTCGCTGAGGGATTCGCTTTAAAACAGAGTTCTGACGCAGTATTTCACAGGTTATTAGGTTATACCACGTCCCAGTTGATCCCAGAACCTCTGTTCCGCCTCAGTAGCTTCTGCTTAAGATTTACACCCTTTCCACTTGCTACAGCCGTTCGCATCAATACACCTCGTCTGTTGCCCGTACATGTTCGCTTTATGGCGGGTGGTAGGGATGTGAGGTTAGGTTAGGTTGGCTTCTTCCCCTCTCTCTCTATTACCTCCTTCTCCCTCTCTCTATTTTTTTCTCGAATCCTTTTCACACCTCGACGACCGCGTCACATTTCAGCGTCGGGGCGCCTGGCGTCT